CTCTTTGCCAGCCACACCCACTCACATCTGTGATCTGTAGCTCTTCCCCGTCATCCATGTTGTCCACCATGGTGACACCTTGGCTGATCCAGTGGTATTCCTTGGGGTTGGGGACCAGCAGCAAACTCTCTGCCGAGAACAGCAAAGCAAGTTAGCAACTTGGTGACCTCTGGTTATTTTCTCTTTCATTTCTAATCCCTGTCTCTTAATGCCTTTCGCAGGCCAGCCATGATGGTGGGATCACCTGGAGTCACAGAGGGACTGGAACAACATCACACAAGGAGCTTTAGGGCCATGAGAGGGTTGCAGGAACTTGGCTGTGTCCTCTGTCACTGGCCCCTAGTAGGCACCCAGTAGATAATTTGGGGAATAAGTAAATTTATATCTTTCTCCCTCCTCTCCTATAAAAAGTAGGTCACATTCTAATGCAGAAGGTAACATAACAACGACCTTGAGCAACACCACCATTGGCATAGAGTGCACATGAGAAAGTTGTTGCTTTTACAAAAATGCATGCTTCCTTTCTAGCTTCCTTCAGATGTGTGCCTCTCTTGGTCTCACATTTTTAATTGTTCACTTTTGGAAGAGGAGCTAGTACAATAAATATTCTCCTTTCATTGTATCTCTACTATATTAAAAAAATTATAGCACAGGAAGGAAGATAAATGATGGCTACCAATTTGCTCCAATGTTAGGGAGGCAACAGGGCTTGGTGGGGAGCATGGTAAATGAGAGAGCTGGTGCGGCAGCCAGGGGGCCACCACCACTCAGCTTCCCAGATTAGTGGGAGGACAGGCTCTGAGGTACTGGCTCTTCTGCTATTCTAAGAGAAACCAGGAAATTGTTTTTTTTTTTTTATGTGAAATTTCCCAATTTCAAAATGTCATCCATTGATTTAAAATTCCACTTGGTTCAACACACATAAAGCCTACCTGTGGGTGGGTTGTGGTACCCAGTACCCAGGTTAGAAAGTGTGTCTTCATCCCTCCTCCCACCTTATTTCCTGAGCAGGTCTGCCATGGATTTCTGAGCATGTCAGTGCCTGCATGAGGGCGTCCAGTTGAGTGGGTGAGTTACTCTGCTCTCCAAGCTATGCACCAGTGTGGGCTGGGTCTGTGGTTATGGCTCATGCAAGCACTGGTCCTGGGATAAGCGTGGTCCCAGTCTGACCCCTGTGCTGCTGTCTGACCATCAGGCTCAGGGGCAGCAGGTTGGAGACAAGAGTCTAGAGCTTTATCTCCCAGGTCTACACCTCAGCCATGAATCACAGGCATGCCAAGGTCCCCTCTGTGAAATGGGACAACCAAGGTGTGCAGTGTCCCTTGACTATTATAAGAATGAGAAGTGCAAGCAGAACCCGGAGGAAGCTCCCTGCTCCAGTGGTTCCTGTAACTAAATCAAAAGGATCACCAAGAACCACAGGGGCGACCCAAGACCTTTCGCACATGGGAATCTTTTCATATGGACAAGAGAGGAAACGCTTGTTCTGGGGCAGGCAGATGGACACAGGATCTTTACCGACAAGTTCAGGCTTCTTATTGGAGAGAATCTGGTAGAAAATATGGTAGCCTCTCTCCGCTGCCTGCTGGGAGATGACGCGAGACTTCTCTAAGAGATCTGAAAAGCAAGGACACTGTGAGGACCATTCCATCTGGAGTTCAGGTCCCATGGAAAGTGGCACTACTGTCTCCATATAGCCCAGTGAAATTGCCTGTGAGGGCCCCACTCTTCCCTCTCCCCAAGACACACAGCCTTGGGGGGGCCTGTCTGCCAAAGAGGGGAGCCCAGAGCCCTTGACAGGTGACCCTCAGAAAGGGCCTCTGATGCATTTTGTTTTATGCTTCTCTGTGGCTGTTTTGAATTTCTTATTTAAAAAACAAAAAACAAAAAAACAATGATCCTTCAGTTTTGCTTTGTACTCAAAAGGAAAGGCTTCAAAAACAAAGAACCTCACAAATGACACAGCTGGTCCTGCTTTGGAGAAGCCTGACTTACAGCTCTCGATGTCAGCTCCGGCCAGTTTGCCTGTAGTCCCAAAGTGGATTCGGATGAACTTGCCCTGAGCAGGAAGGACAGGGGAGAAGATGTGAGGGCGGTGGCTCATACTGTAGGACAATAGTCGGCTCAGATTGGGGACACTTGTCAACAGCCCCTAGGGATTCCCAGGGGAATGTAACCAGGCTCTGCCTGGGGCTGTGATGTCCCATGACAATGGGCAGAGAAGGAGTTGGACAGGTTGGAGCTAGATCCGGGGTTTGAGTCTTGGGTTACTTGTTGGGGAGAGACACGCTCAGCAGGAGAGGCTGGGACCCTTTGGAATTCTACCTTAGAGGCCAGGCCTTGTGGAAGTAGGGCCAGCCAACCAGGTGGCCTGGGGTTTCCTTATCAAGGGACATCGCATTCCTCTCCCTGATTTGTGTCAGGACCATGAATAAACATTCCCGGGAACAGGCTTCTCCTGGGTCTGTTCTCCATCACCTCTTTTTCTCACCTGCCCCCATCTCTGCCTGTTTTCTAGGGTCCCTCGGCTCAATGAGGGGCCCCTGGGAGGCTGGGGTGGCAGAGGAGAGACGGCTGGGATTGCTCTGCCATGAGCAGAACCTCAGGAAGTGACTCAGCTCACAGAACCCTAACCCTACAGCCACTAGTTCCAGAGTCTGACCAGGGACCCTCTCCTAGATCCCTCCATCCTGGAGGAAGGCCCCCACCCCCAGCTTCCTGCTGCTATGAATCTCTGGCTTCAGAGACATGAACTCCTGAGACCTTCTATCACCCTGTAGCTGAGTCTGGTGCCCTTGAGCAAATGCAAGTGGGTTCTGCTTGCTGATTAGACCCAGAGCGGTACTCCCTAAAACCTCTGGGAAGGAGATGCCCCGACTTGCCTTATCCTCGTCACCTTAATTTTCCATTTTCTTACCCGGAATGGGCTCACCACTCCCACCCTACACCCCAGGGAAGCCCATGCTACTGCTCACACTTACGAAGCGAGAGGAGTTATTGTTCCTGGTGGTCTTGGCATTCCCAAAGGCCTCCAGCACGGGGTTGGCCTGGATGATTTGATCCTCCAGGGACCCCTGGCCCAGAAAGAAACCCAAGGAGGGGTGATCAGTCAGTTGCTGTCTGGGGACCCAGGGCTGAGGGGCTGATCTTGCAAAGGGCAATGGCTTATGTGCACAGAACCCAGGAGGAGAACGACCATAGGGAGGCTGGGAAATCAGGGCTGGGGGCAGATATAGATCTTGCCCTGGGAGGAGGGCCACTCCTGAGGAAAACCTGTCCCTCTGTGGCCCTGTGACTTGGAAGGGGGCTGCCTGGGGACACTGACAACCTTGATTCTTAGCTATTGTTCCCATATTTTGCTGATGGTGAAGACGCCACTGAGTGAACCCCAAAACCTTTCTTCTCTGTATTTCTGCCTCCAAGGCTCTGCTATTCTCTGTCAAATTTTTAAAGCAGTGATTGTCCCAGGTAATGATCCTTGTGTTCCTGGGGGCAGCCAGGGCCTACGGAGGCAGCTTAATGAAGAGGCTGTGTTCCCCTTTCTCCTCTGCCCCTATCCTTCTGGGGCAGGAACCAAGGTCTGTGGCTGCCTCCTCCTGGTATGACCCCAGCCAAGTCACTTCTCTCTAAGCTCCATTTCATCAACAGTGAAATGGCCAAGAAGAACGAAATGGGCTCTGCTACATGGTGCCCTTGACCCCAAATTTACCCGGTAGGCCCTACCTTTTTATCTGGGGACTGTTTTCCAGTTCCTCCAATATTGGCAAAGTACTGGATGACCTTCTTCGTGTTCTCAGTCTTGCCAGCACCAGATTCTCCACTGCAGGTGAAAAACAACAGTGGTCACATGAAAGTAGGAGAGGAGTGTTGATCGTAGACAAGGGAAACCATAGAAAAGTGCATATTCTATTCCCATCTCACGCCCCAGCCTGGACATTCAAGCAGATGGGGAGGCCTGGGGGACAGGATCCTCCCACAGGTTTAGCAGGCACAGCCTCGGTGGCCCTGTCAAGCCCACTCACTGCCTGCAGAGTTCGTACAAAGTCCCCCAATTAATTCTGAGAAGGCTTAATTATATGTGTAAGGCACAGACCTAATTATATGTACATAGACTAAGAGACAGAAGAGACACTTACGTGATTAGCATAGACTGATTTTCACGATCTGTGGGGAAGAAAACAGCAAGGAGGAAGATGTAATTAGGAGACATTTAGAAAGTAGGCATTTGACAGTAGCCTAACCAAGCAGCCCTCTTTGAGTTGCACCCAGCTTCGAGAGTGGCCTTGTCCACACTTGGAAGCCCAAAACCCAGGATCCTGTGGCATCTGAGTCCATATGCCCATCTCTACATCATATACTTTTGTGGAAAGGGTGAAGAATTTACCAGCCACTCCATTTCTACCAGGCTGCTTTCTTCAGTCAGAAAACTACCCAGTCACTATCAACATCAAGAGAAATGGCCATAAAAATCACCTAAGGGATCTGGGGCTGTAGTTTAGTTGCAAAGCGCTTGCCTAGCATGTGTGAGGCATTGGGTCTGATCCTCAGCACCACATAAAAATAAACAAATAAAATAAAGGCATGCTGTCCATTTACAAGTACAATTTTTTAAAAATAACTTAAGGGAGACAATCTACCAGCAAAGAACAGCAAAGATCATACAGGTAATGGTTAAGAGTGTCAACCTAGCCTGGCGTGGTGACACAAGCCTGTAATCCCAGTGGCTCAGGAGGCTAAGACCGGAGGATTGTGAGTTCAAAGTTAGCCTCAGCAACTAGTGAGGCACTAAGTAACTCAGTGAGACCCCGTCTCTAAATAAAATACAAAATAGGGCTAGGGATGTGGCTCAGTGGTTGAGTGCCCCTGAGTTCAGTCCCTGGTACCCCTCCCCCCCCCAAAAAAAAAGTGTCGACAGCATCCCATAGGTTTGTGAAGACAGGGCATAAGTTGGGGCTGCTGCTTGGTGAGTGTCCAGTGTACAGACAGGTACCTGGTACTAAAACCACGGGCAGCAGCTGCTGCTCCAGGGTGGCAAAGAATCTCAACTGGAATGGGAAGGTGGGGGAGTTCAAGGTCAAGGTTGGGGTCAGGTCCTAATGTACTTGGAGCTGCAAGGGCCAAGAAAAACTTGTCTCCCCCCCCCCGCCTGGTACCAGAAGACCCCACCCCACTCACCCATGAGCATGTCATGGTAGGCATTGTCAGAGATGGAGAAGAGGTGGGGTGGCATCTCTGTGCGCTTCTTGCCCTTGTACATGTTGGCCACCCGGGCCCCATAGATGGGCAGCCACCTGTAGGGGTTGACTGTCACACAGAACAAGCCCGAGTAGGTCTGGTGAAGAGAGAGAAGGAAGACGGTTAGCTGACCCTTCCTCCTGGTGCCCTCTTCCCTCAGGTCCCCCAGGGTCCCAGCCTATCTACCTCTGAGCAGACTGAGAGAACCACTGATTTCTCTGAGACAGATAAAGTGGAGAGCAAAAAAAAATCAATCTCTTCATCAAGCAAAACAAAACTTCTCCTTAATACTTATTTGCTTCATTTTCTTTTGGGTTAATTATATAAATAGGTAACACAATTACTCTATGGACACATCCATAGCCAAAAAGTCCCCCCAACCTGCTGGGTGCCCAACTTTCTCCTGCCACAGGTAAATGCTGCTGTTAAATTTTTTTTTTATATATTTTCCATTATGGCTGTGGATGTATATGCAAGCAAACTCAGAGACACATTCTCCCTGTTTTTCAAACAAAAATAATGCTCTATAATGCTACTTTATATCTTGTTTTTTTTTTCCCACTTAATTATCTAGGAGATTTCCCCTGAGAGTTCCCTGAGAGATTTCTGGTGTTTTTAACAGACACAAGAGTCTGCACTTTGTAGACCCAGGTCCCTTTTGGTGGGCAACTGGGTTTAATTTATTCTTGAAAAGAAACCCCAACTTCTCTTTTGGCTCCAAGACTGCAATTTTGTAAGAAATAGTTCCACTTAAAAATAAAGGACAAAAAAACCCCAATGTAGTAAAAGAAATTATTGGAGGGAAGGGAGAATAAATGAGGACAGAAAATGGCCAAATCAATGGGTCTCCAACTTTCCCTTCTCTTTGTTTGGTCGTCACAATGACCTCCAATGCCTCTAGTCTATGCCTCTTTTCAATTCAACCTCATTTGCTTCTACTTGACCTTCTACTTGAGCCCACATGAAAATAATCTAAAAAATAATCTAAAAATAATCTAGAAAATCTAAAAAAAATCTAGTTTCTCTTTAGCATATCTGTGATATGTTGAACTTTTAAAACGAAATATTAAATAGAACTGGAAGAAAAAGAAATGAGATAAAGAAAACCCATTGACGTGTCGAGAGCATGACACACGGTGTCTCATGTTGGAACTGTGGCCACTGAGTCACTCTTTACCTCCAGCTCTGTATCAGCTGGGAGCGGGGCAGGCAGCAGCCCAGAAGCCAGTTGTGTCCCTGTCCTGGTCAGGAGGGTTACCCGAGGGAAGTAGTTGGGGTTCAGCCCCCACCTGCCACAGAGGTGCTTTAATTTAAGGGGTGTCTCCCTGCCTTAGTCCCTCAGGCCACATTCTGCAGAGTCTACAGTTCCTTAATCCAATGACATGGTGTGTCCACCCACCAGGAACAAGGGCTTGACTATAGAATGGTCCAAAGTAAGCCTCAGTCCCAAGCTTGACCATCAAACCCACCAACATCCTCAGCCCAGGCTCCAGGATTAACCAGGGATGGATGTAGTTCTTTCCCAGACCCAAGTTTCAGGGACACTCCATAACCTCCAGACCCAGAAAATATCTGTCACAGTTTCCCAGAGATCTTTCAGTACCACTTCGGGCTAGGTGCTTCTACAGGTCTGAATCCAGAAGCAAAATAGTATTAAAGTTGGACAAGACCGGTGAGCACAGCAGCCATCTTGGCTATAACCACAGACCTGGGGAGGGGAGATCCCCAGCAACCCTGACTTTGCAATTAGGCCCCACCTCACTCATTCCTACCACATCTAAAGAGGAAAACATCAAACTTCCTTAGACAACCCACTGTGGAATTTAGCTACTGACACTTTCAGGAAGAAAAAAAAATCCTTTTGTCTGAGGATTTTTTTTAGACACACTCAGCAGACTGCTTGTAGCTTGCTCTTCTCATCACCTCAGATGAACAGAAACTGAACTTCTTCAAGGATGCAGTCTGTTGTTTTTCCTAAGTCCCCCAGGAATGCACTTTTTTTTTTTTGTACTAGAGATTGAACTCAGGCGCATAACCACTGAGTCACATATCTAGCCCTTTTTATTTATTTTGAGACAGCATTCCACTAAGTTGCTTAGGGTCTCACTAAGTTGCAGAGGCTGGCCTTGAACTTGTGATCCTCCTTCCTTAACCCTCAGAGTTGCTGGGATTATAGGCATGCACTTCATGTTTGACCCAGGGCTGCATTTAAGTCACATTTCCTCAATGTTTGTTGAAGAAATGGATGGATAGATGAATTCGTGGAAAGGTAGATGGATGGAGGGATGGGTGGATAGATCTATGAATAGATGTATAGATAGATGGATGGAAAGTTGGGTGACTGAATGGATGGATGGATGAGTGATTGGATGGATGGATGGATGAATAAATGGGTGGACAGATGGATAGAGGAAAAAGGACTTCTAATAAGATGTCTGAGGGGCTGAGGTTGTGGCTCAGTGGTACAGTGTTCACCTAGCATGCATGACGCACTGGGTTCGATCCTCAGCACCACATTAAAAATAAAATTAAAAATGTCCACCTAAAACTAAAAAAATAAATATTATTTTTTTAAAAAATGTCTGAAATCACTAGGGGGACATGATATTTTTATTGGAGGTTTTGAGGGATTGGGGGACATGAGGAAGAAGATTTCTGGCTGAAAGTTTTCAGCTGTCTATGGGGATAGTGCCATCACTGAGTTTACTGAAAGCCTGAGGCAGAAGTTGTAACAACAACAAAACTATGATCCCTGTGCCCTCTTCTGAGTCATAATGTACATTGGGAGCTTGGAAGAGTACAGTAGCTGCCCCACCCCATCAAAAGAGGCGTGGAAGACAAGTTCCCTCCTCCCCACCCTCATCCCCAAACTCTGCTACTCACATAGATCCTCATGTGGGTGTAGCGTTGGCGAAGATTGTCCAGGACACTGGCCTCATTCAAGAAGGTCATGTCTGCCATGTCACTGGCCTGGTAGAATTTGGGTGGGTTCATCTGCTGGATGTCATCCTTCTTCATAGTGAGTGTCTGGAGGGTCAAAACACAGCAGCATGTGCATTAGGAAATAGTGCTTTTATAGCTAAGACAGCATCACAGGGTCCCACACATCTTCTGGTGTCCTGGAAGGAGCTGGAGTGAGGTATCCAGGGGGTCCAGCTCCTGATCCAGACACATCCCACTGTGTGACTTGGGATGGGGAAGGACTTCAGAGACCATAGCAGCCTTAACTGTGTCCCCTTTGAAGTAGGGAAGACAATAGCTGGTTGTTGGGAGAATGATACAGACCTAAGTGGGGTCATGAAAAAAGACCTTGTAATCGATCACATTCCCTCCCTATGGTGCGGAGTGCCTCTGGGCCATGCGTTCTCTGCCAGCTAAGTTCATACTGGGAGTTGATCAGAGCTTGCTCTTTACTCCCAGAGACACTTTGTAGAGATGTCTTTTGGAACTCTCCCTGGAGAGCAAGTTTAAAGAACTTT